AGAAAAAAATACCTGAACCGCCTCTTCCATCTTCTTCTTCGGTTCAGCTTGCTATCTCTTCCATTTTCGATCAATTACAACCTAAAATGGACTATAATGACTCCTAAAAATTACAGATCTTTCTTCACTTATTAAAGCCCATACACATTAGGCTTGTTACAATTGTATTAAATGGAAGCTTAAAAAATGCCAAAACAAAAAACATCCACTTTAGCAACCACAAAATTTCATTCATGAAATTGTACCCACCATGCTCAAATTAATGTAAATAAAGTGTCTAAAACTTGCTCTGATACCAATTGATGGAGTTAATATAACACATGCGGAAGCAATTTGGATTTTAGGCACTCTTAGAACATCAATTATAGTAAATAACTAGCATGTTCATAAGTATTAAAACTCAAGGTCTTTGAGTACTAACATTTTGTAGTTCAAATTCCTTTTTCCTCACAAACCGGTTTCAAACAACCACTAGTGTCTTCTCCACTATTCTCTGGTCTTACAACGAGATTATGGAATCCAGTAAGTGACTAAACTTGGGAGGGATTTAGTATATATGAAGAGAGAGTTTGTGAGAATTTTTCTCAAGGTTTTTCCGAAAGGAGAAGTTCCATGTACCTTGATCACTCTATTTATAGAGTTATGTTTGCATGTTCATGCAAATTTGAGATCACCAAATTTTGACACTAAAAATTCCACTCAAATGTTTCGGATTATGTGGCAAGCATGCAAGTTTGAGTTAACCAAATTTTGACACTCAAAATTCTACTAAAATTTGTGGGGTTTATTTGGCAAGCATGCAAGTTTGGTTAAACCAAATTTTGACACCTCAAAATTCCACTAACTCAAACATTGATTTTTCGATTAAATGAAGTCACATTTTGACTTTTTTCATTTTAATTCAACAATTAATTTGAATAATTAATTTCAAATTAAAGTAATATTAAATGATTAATTAAACTATTTAATTAATATTTAATATTAATTCAAATGTCAATCCCAATCAATTCTGACATATATTTGATTAACATATTTAAATCGTATTTAAATATCTCAAATTCTCTCTTTTTGTTTAATTTGTAAATAAAACAAAAATGCGGTTAACTATATCGTATATATGTAGCGCATATTCCCTAATTTGAATTCGAACACTTCGAACTCACTCATCACACTGTTCTATGGTTTAGTCCGATATTAGCTAGCAGAGGGACCTAATGAACCTATAGATCATGGGCTCCAACAAGCCAAGATTAACCGGTTTAACTCATTAACCTTGTTAACCAACATTTGTTAACTACTAGGACACTCCAGTATAGCTTAGTAGTTGCACCCCCCTCACTATAGATATATTTCTGTCCATTTGATATAACCATGATTAGTAAGTCGATCCTTCACAGGTTGTTCTAACTAGAGCTGGGTCAAATTACCGTTTTACCCCTAAAGTTACTTCTTGTTCCTTGTGTCTCATTGATTCTCTAATGAACAATTGGTTTGTGGTTCAACCAGTAAACCGAATCCCTCTCAGGCCAATGAGAGGGTGGGACCCCTTATTCAAGACCTAGAGTCAGTGCTTAAGAGAACTACCTCTCTTCTATCCCTAAAAGTGGGTATGAGTGAAATTCGGCTTGCACCCCACGTCCCCAGCCATTCACCCAGTCTTACCCCTGAAATGGGAGGCCTATTGAGTCGGCGAACTTGAGCCACTCTCACCCATGAAAATCTAAGGATAATTCCGAATAAACAGGAGTTCATGGTTAGCTCAGGATAAAGATCGAGTTACCTAGGTCATCGAAAGGAGATTGGTCTCAACAGTAAACGACATTATAAAGTGATAGTGATTTTTTTCATGGTTCGATCTTATGCAATACTCATTGCATAGGTCGCCCCCACTCACATGTCTCTGTATGTACAATTTAGTGATCACATTGTTTATGTCATATACAAAAGTGGGTTGCATCCATATTGTCCTCAGCATAAGGTACTCAGCCTTATCCCTGTACTATAGATCATTTTGACTATATACTCTTGATCTACTCTTATGTCTCTACATATAGTTCAAGTAATCATACTATAGACAGAGTGTTCTTAGTTTATTGGATTTAGATTAATATTCGTAAAATTCACTTTATTCAATAACAATTTTTACTGAATAAACATCAATAATAACTTTATTGAAAATATAATATGTTTTTGTTTACAAACTATGAGTTTTAGGACATAAAACCCAACATTATGTTCGTTCAAGAAATTCAAAAAACTCGTGGAAAATCATTATGATCACAAGCTGAAAAACTTGTGCACCAACAGAGGTGGTGAGTTCTTATCCCAGAACTTCTCAAAGTTTCGCGAAGAGGAAGGTATCAAGCGTCAACTTACTGCACCGTACACTCCACTAAAACAGTGAGGTTGAACGAAGAAATCGCACCTTAATGAACACTGCAAGAAGCTTACCCAAGAGCATGCAAGCCTTAGTGATTTTCTGGGGTGAGGCAATACAACATGCGATTTATCTTCTAAATCGTTTACCGACAAAGGCGCAAAACACTTGCAACCTCTACGAAGCATGGTTCAACAAGACACCTCACTTTGAGTATCTAAGTGTCTTCGGTTGTACAACACATGTTAAGCCTATAAAACCATATATCAAAAATCTTGATGATAGAAGCCAAAAAATGGTGTACTTCGGCATAAAGGATGGAACCAAAACACACAGGTTGTATGATCCGCAACATGAGAAAATTCATGTAAATAGAGATGTCATATTCGAAGAAGAGAAGAAGTGGGATTGGTGTAGCGTTGGCGATAACAAGCAGACTATTACAGAGTTCACTACTCTAGAAGAAGAGGGAGACACAACAGATCTAGAAAGTGTCTCTACAGCAACACCAACAAGTCCACACATGTCATCTCTGATGACACTGAATGGTGTGATGGACTATCTAGAACAAGAGAGCTCAAGCGAGAGCACAAGAAGATCCAAAACAGAGGATGGACCAAAGAATTTTCGTTCTCTTGCTAAAATTTATGCGGATTCACTTGAAGAAGAATTGGATCTCAATGAGTTAGTGTTGCTCGCGGTCGAGGATCTGACAACCTACTGTGAGGCAGCAATTGAGACGATATGGCAGGAGGTCATCCAAAAGGAGCTTGAAGCCATTGAGAAGAACAAGACGTGGGCACTAACTAACTTACCGTCTAGACATAAGCCCATTAGTTTGAAGTGAATGTTTAAGTTGAAGAAGAATAGTGAAGAAAATGTCATCAAGCATAAAGCAAGACTCGTGGTGAAGGGATACGTGCAACGACAAGGAGTTGATTTTGAGGAAGTTTTTGCGCCTGTGGCTAGACTTGACATTGTAAGGTTCATTCTTGCTCTCACATTTCACCACGGGTGGGAGGTCCATCACTTGGATGTCAAATTAGCATTACTAAATGGTGACCTCCAAGTAGAAGTGTGTGTTGCCCAAACTGAAGAGTTCGTCATCAAAGCTGAAGAGCACAAAGTGTACAAGTTGTCAAAGGCCCTGTACGGTTTACTGCAAGCACCCAGGGCGTGGAACATACATCTAGCCAAGAGGTTAAAGAGTTTAAACTTCATGAACTGCTCAAAATAACAAGCATTGTATACAAGAAACTATGGGGTAGAAACACTCGTCGTTGGTGTGTACGTTGATGACCTGATCGTCATTGTGGAAGGTGAGAAAGAGTTCAAGCAACAAATGATGAAAGAATTTAAGATGACTGATCTCGAGTTGCTCATGTACTACCTCGGTATTAAAGTGGACCTAAGGAAAGATTGCATCATGCTAAAGTAATCGATCTATGCAAATAAGTTGTTGCAGCAATTTAAGATGACAGAGTGCAACTCAACCAAGTATCCCATGGAAGCAAAGTTACAACTCGGAAAAGATGTTGAAGGAAGCATGATGAATTCCAGTGAGTATAGGTGTGTCATTGGAAGTCTAAGGTACTTGACTCATACTCGTTCGGACCTTTCATATGTGGTTGGAATAGTGAGTAGGTACATGAAAAAGCCCACTATGATGCATCATCAAGCGATTAGACACATTCTCTAGTATGTGAAGGGAACCACAAGCTATGGGTTGAAATATCAAAGAGGGGAGGTCCTAAAGAAGTAGTCGGTTTTACTGATAGTGATTTAGCTAGAGACATTGACGATAGAAAAAACATCGCAAAAATGACATTTTATCTCAACGAAAATTTAATCTCTTGGCAATCTCAGAAGTAGCAAATTATGGCACTATCTTCCTATGAGACCGAGTTCATCGCAGCAACTGTGGCTGAGAAATTTGTTGAGAGAAGTGACTATAAGTGAACTCAAGTCGTTAACACTCTACGTCGATAACAAATCTACGATTACTCTGATGAAATTTCAGTATTTCACGGACGCAGCAAACACATTGACACTCACTTTCACTTCATCCATGAGCGTGTTGAGAAGAGATAAATTTTTTGTGGAGTTCGTATGCACTAGAGAACAACGTGCGAAAATTTAAACCAAAAGAAGGAGACAAGGAGCAAAGACACACAAATTAAACTTATCTTCTTTTTGTGGTGTTTCACTAACTTGACACCATTTTCCTTATATAATAAAAAAATAACAAATTTCTTGCTACAAATCAACCACTCACAATATCTCCCTAAAAACTAGTTTCACTCTTCCACTACTTCCACTCTTCCTAGCTATATCTCCAACCCTTCTTTTTAGGGAGAAATGAACAACAAAAATAAAATAAATACAAAACAACTATTTTTAACCAAAAACTGATGAAGCAAAATAAATACAAAACAACTCTTTTTAACCAAAAACTTATGAAGCAAAATAAATAAAAAACCAAGTTTATAACCAACCATCACTCCTCTAAACTTGTTTAACTATGCTAAATCGACTTTCTTCAAGCCAATCTTCTCTCTTAACTCTAGGAACCGTTTTCTTGCTAACGGCTTTGTCAGAATATCTGTCAACTGTTCATCTGTGTTCACATATTCCAGTTCAATAGCTTCAATTTGCACACACTGGCGCATAAATGGAACCTGGTATCAATGTGCTTACTTCGATCATGGTAAACAGGATTTTTCGCCAATGCTATAGCTGACTTGTTGTCAACATTAAGCTTGGGTTTTACTTGCAGTTGTCTGATGTTACTCAAAATCCTGCCCAACCATACTCCGTGACATGTTCCAGCAGTTGCGGCTATATACTTAGCCTCGCATGACGACAAAGCCACCACCTTCTGCTTTTGTGATACCCAGGTTATAGGATTTACTCCCAAATAGTACAACACTCCAGTTGTACTCTTCCTATCATCAATATCCCCAGCCATATCACTGTCGCTAAATCCTACCAGCTCCACATTCGATAGCTTCTTATAAACACAACCAAAACTTAAAGTAACTTTTACATACCTAAATATTTGTTTTACTACTATGAGATGTGATGTTGTTGGTGCCTCCATGTATCTACTCATCACACCAACTGAGTAGGCTATGTCGGGCTGGGTATTAACCAGATAGCGTAAGCTTCCAATAACACTTCTATAAAGTGTTTTGTCAACCGCAGGTTCTCCATTCCCATGTTTGCTCATCTTCATTCTTGGTTCCATGGGAATCGAACAAGGATTGCACTCCCCCATTCCTAGCTTCTCTAGGATTTTTCTTGCATATCCGGCCTGACATAAAGTGATTGATTCACTGCTTTGTCGTACCTCAATACCCAAGTAATAGCTCAAAAGTCCAAGATCGCTCATCTCAAATTTCTGGTGCATCTCTTCCTTGAACTGAGCTATAACTTGTTTGTTTGAGCCGACTATGATTAAGTCATCCACATATGTACCGATTATCATTTTTTCAACTCCATTAATTTTCTTGTAGAGAGCATATTCCTGTGGACATTTAAAAAAACCAAGTGACTGCAAACATTGATCAAGTTTAAAATTCCAAGCCCTCGGAGCATGTTTTAATTCATACAAGGCTTTACGTAGTTTTAATACCATGTTTGAATTTTCCTTGCCAGCGAACCCTTCTCGTTGAACAACATACACCTCCTCTTCTAACTCGCCATTCAGAAAAGCTGTCTTCACATCCATGTGATGCATTTCCAATTTTTAACGGCTGCATAGGCAAGAATTAATCTTAGTGTTTCTAACCTGGACACTGGTGCGAATACTTCACTATAATCTACACCAAATTGCTGTGCATATCCCTTTGCCACGAGTCTCGCCTTATGTTTCATGATTTCTCCATCTAGATTTTTCTTTAATTTAAAAATTCATTTGATGCCGATTGCTTTATGATTCTTCAGCAAATCTGTGAGTTCCCTACGTTATGTTCTTTTCAATGGAGAGAATTTCAGACTTCATGGCATTCCTCTAGTTTTCATTCTTAGCAGCTTCCTCATATGAGGTTGGCTCCTCTATAGAAAGAAAACAAAGGTCCACTGCTTCCTCCTCTGCTTCGTTCAATTCTCTATAAATATCTTCTAGAGACCTAAACTTTATCGGCGTCGACGAGCTTGATGATGATGCATTTGAGGTAATGTCTAGCGTTGACAAAGTTGAGGATGAATTTTCCCTTTGCCTTTCATCGGGATTAACTTTGTTTTGTTCAATATTCCTCTCATCTATTCTACTTTGTTTTTTTGAAATTTGAACGGTGAAAGTTCCTCTTTGTTCATCATCACCATTTGTGATTTCTTCCCAACACCACTTTTTTTCCTCTTCGAACAACACATCCCTACTCACCATAATTCTGTTCTTTTGAGGATCCAATAGTATGTAAGCTTTCGTTCCATCTTCATATCCCAACATAATTGTCTTCACACTCCTATCAACAAGTTTAGGAAGGTGTGAATATGTATTCTTGGCATGAGCAAGACACCCGAAGATTTTAAAGTGATGAACCTTCGGTATCTTGTCAAACCAAGCTTGATACGGTGCACCATCTGCAACTCCTTTTGTTGGCAATCTGTTCAAAATATACACAGTAGTTTTGACGGCTTCTTCCCAAAATTTTGCAGGCATCTCTTTGCTCTTTAACATACATCTGGCCATCTCTACAACCGTTCGATTACGTCTTTCTACTACGCCATTTTGCTGTGGTGAAAATGGTGCAGTAAGAAATCTCTTCAAGCCTTCTTTCTCGTAATAGTCTTTAAAAGCAGTAGATACGAACTCTCCTCTACGGTCCGTTCTAAAGCTCTTAATCTTCTTGTCTTTCTCTACCTCCACACTGATCTTGAACTTGAACTTTTTAAATACCACTAGTGTTTCATTCTTGTTTTTCAACATAAACGCCCACATAAATCGTGAAAAATCATCCACTAGTAACATAAAATATTTGTTACCTCTATAAGTCATTGGTGAAATAGGTCCACATAGATCTCCATGGACGAGATCCAATGACTCCTTCGCATGATATGTTGTTATTCGGGGAAAAGAAGTCCTATGCTGCTTTCCTATTAAACACCCATCACGAAATTGATTGGCGTGGGTGATTTTTGGCAACCCTTCAACCATTCTTTTGTCATTTAATTGCTTTAAAGAGTGAAAATTCTGGTGTCCATACCTCACGTGCCAGAGCCAACCATCGTTACTGATATTTGTCATTAAACACACCTGATCCGCAAGCTTCAGCTTTGCTACATACAATCTGTTGGATTGTCTGATCACCATATTAATCAGGCTCCTAGCCCTGTCATATATCTTCATCACACTGTCCTCTATGACAATTTTATTTCCACTCTCATCCAGTTGTCCCAAACTTATTATATTGCTTTTGAGTTTAGGTATGTAATAGACTTATGATAAGATCAAGTGCTCATCGGTTTTGCATTTGAAGAGCACTATTCCTCAACCACAAATGTCTACTACAGAGTTATCACCGAAACGTACCTTTCCAACAACAGATGTGTCGAGCTCACGAAACACCCTTCTTTCTCCTGACATGTGGTTGCTTGCTCCAGTATCTAGGAACCAGGAATTTTGAAGCTCCAATATTGGCTGGTGGTGGCACTATAGTTTCATTCAACATCACAAAATCAGGCTCTTTGTCATGTGTGGTTTTAATTTCACAAACCTCTATCATCAGCAATGAAGACTCCTCATCCTTTTGCATCTCTATCAAGTTGAGTTGTTCATCTTTTGTGGAACACTCTGATGCGAAGTGTCCCATTTGCTGACACCTGTAACATTTAATTTTACTTTTATTGAATTTCTTCTTCTGAGTTTGCGACTCTCCTTCCTCTCCTCGATGCCAGTCACTTCACCCACGACCTCTCCATCTTCCACGACCCCGTCCCCTGCCTCCTCTGGAACTGCCTTGATCCTTCCATTCTTTCTTTGAGGATTTTGCATTTTCTAGTTCCTTCCATTTTGCACGAGTGAGGAGAAAGGGTTTCATATTTTTCTCCAAATCCTTGCATCCTTTCGTCATGTGCCTTGAGTGATCCAATAATCTCATCAACGGATTTCGTTTTGAGATCACTGAACTCCTCAATCGTTGAAGTGATTTGAAGAAACTTTGCAGAGGTGGATCATAGAAGTTTCTTAACTACTTGGATATCATCCACAGTATTGCCGAGGCCTCTCAATTTGTTGACAATAATGGTGAGTTTTCCAGAATACTCATCAATACTTTCTGAATCACCCATCCTCAACGCTTTAACTCCCGCCAGAGAGTCTGCGTTTTAATTTCTTACACTCTTTCCGCACCTAGATTCATATTTTTCAACATGATCCAGGCTTCTTTGGCCATTTTCTTGGCACCCAAATGTAGCAACGTATTTTCTTCAATACTTTGATAAAAAGCTGCTGAAACCATTTTATCTTTGCAGTTATCTATTGTTTTGAGGGACTCAATTGCCTCCCAAACACCTTGTGCCATCATAAATACCTCCATCTTAATCACCTAAGCTGCATAGTTGTATTTTGTCAGCATCGGGTATTTAGTGTGACAGATCCCTCCTTTTCTTGAATCCGTATACTCACTTCGTTTGAGGCATCACCTTCTATCGCATCGGTGTTTTCGCTCTTGTCACTCGATTCCTGTCTCATTTTTTTTTATCTCTCTCCCTTCTTGACCGCTCAATATCTAAATGAGACATGATTGAAAATAGGTCTTGATCTTGTAGTTCTGATACCAATTGAAAGAAAAAAAAATAACAGAAGGAGAGAAGGAGCAAAGACACAAATTAAACTTATCTTCATTTTTGTGGTGTTTCACTGACACCATTTTCCTTATATAATAAAAAAAAAATAACAAATTTCTTGCTACAAATCAGCAACCACTCACGATATCTCCCCAAAAACTAGTTCCACTCTTTCAGTACTTCCACTCTTCCTCACGATATCTCCAGCCCTTCAATCAACCAACTCTCACTTGATTCTTTGCCTGAGGAACAAGTGACCACAAACAAATGATCTTCTTCTTCTTGATCAACTACCTGTGCATCTACTTCTTTCACCTAACCTTTGACTTTGCAAATCACAGCTTTATGTCCAAGTTGATTGCATTTGGAGTAGAAGGCGTCATGTCTTCTCCAACACTTGTATGGTGGATGACCTTTCTTCTCACAATAGCGGCAAGGTGGATAGGATTTTTTGGAACCTCCTCCTTTTGTCTTATGATAATTGGCAGATGAATCTCCATTCGTCGATTGGTTTTTGAAATTTTTCTTGTTTTTATACCTGCTATTGTCTTGATGCTTGACATGTAAGGCACCTTCAATCACCCCTTCTTGCCTCATAGACCTCCTTTGCTCTTGTGCTTGTAAAGCGTTCAAGAGCTCTGTAAGAGAAATCTTTGACAGGACTTTGGTGTTGTCCAAAGTAGTAAGGGTGGCTTCAAACTTCTCTGGAACAATGACTTAGTTTTTCAACGATCTTGGAATCATTTAACACAGAACCAAGCAATCTCACCTTGTTGGCAATGCTGAGAAGTCTGTCAGAGTACTCTTTCACCGACTCAGACTCCTTCATCTTCTGCAACTCGAAATCCTTAATCAAATTCAAGACTTTCATTTCACGAATCCTCCCATCTTCTTCATATTCATCCTTGAGATAATCCCATATTTCCTTTGTTGTTTTAAGGGACATTATTCGTATGAAGATCATTTGAGATACAGCGGCAAATAGACAAGCTTTGGCCTTTGATTTTCTTGTCCTTCTGTACTTTGATTTGTGTTACAGTAGGATTGACCTCATAATCCTCTTCTATTGCTTCCCAAAGATCCAAGCCCTCTAGATAAGTCTCCATACGAACTACCCACATTTGATAATTGTCTCCATCGAAGACTGGTGGTGTAACAACTGAAAAACTAGATTCTCCTTCCATCTCGATCTCACAGACCCCTTAAGAAGACGACTCTGATACCAATTTGTTAGTGAAAGAGAGAGTGATTGAATGGTTGATGAGAAGATTGCAGAAGGCTCTCTATATATACAAAGAATATAAAAAGATATTAAAAAGTCTATCTAAAAATCTGCAGAAAATTTGGTAACAAACCAGTAAACAAATAAAAAACTAAATCAAATCAAAACTAAATCAACTCCTAACTAGAAGGAGATTTAATCAAATACTAACTGGCAGCAATCAAAACAAATACGTGATCTTTAACAGAGCATACAAGTAGGTTGTTTATTGAGTATTCTTATACTCATCCCTTTCTACTGTCTTTTTTCAGGTGAGTGATGCCACAGATCGAGACGAGAGCGCGTGCATGAGTCTTAAAGCCACAAAGGAGTGTCCAGGGGCGTTTAGGAGTTTGTACATATCATGCATAGTTACTATTGAAAATAAATTTGCTCTGATACCAATTTGTAGAATTAAAAAGCTTGCTCTCATACTAATTTGTTGAAATTAAAATAGGCTCCGATACCAACTTGTAGAAAATAGACGCTCGCTCTGAAACCAACTCGTTTAGATAACTCTCACGAAGTTGTGAAGGAGGTGTCGAGAGGGAAGAGACAAGGAGACAAAGAATTCCCAAAAGCCTTTTTCTATTACACTATACTCTAACTGCTGTTGCACTGAGAAGTGAATCTATTTATAAGTTTTCAAGGCTAAAATTTCCATAACTATCCCACCTTTTTTCTCACACATGTTTTCCTCCTAAAATGCTTATTGGCTCTTGACTAAATTTTAAAATAAAAAATTAATAACTACTTCTTCCCTTTTTTTTTTTTTTTTCTCATTTAAGTTTATTTACAACCATTCCTTCACACATTTTGTACCCACATACTTTTTCATGAAATTCATCCTTTCTTGAACATTTTGTTTTGATACTATAGGAGAAGTTTTATATTGAAGGCAATAAAAGTTGCAGGGAGTAGTGTGGAAGAAGAAGCGAAGACGAAAGGGCTGGAAGAAGGAACAAATTCTGTATAAGAAATGGAAGCAACCGTGCTTACTTTTACTTTATCGTGTTACATGATTATCAAAGCGATTAAAGAAAAAAAATACAAACTTTATGACCGGAACAAGAAAAGAAAGACATATATATAAAATAGATTTGGGGTGTCCTTCCACAAAACAAGAAACTAAAACCCAAAGAAGCTATGAATGTGTACGAGGAGAAAAAACAGTTATACAAACTAGCGTTGAGGGGAGAATGGAGGCATCTGCGCGAGGTATGTAAGGATGCGAGTCAGTTAGTGTTGCCGATCAATAACAGTGGAGAGACGGCGTTGCATTTGGCAGTGTACAGTGGAAAGGGAGAACCTTTAAAAACAATTCTTGAGCAGGTGATGGAGATGGATTACATAGAGTATTGGAAGAGCTACGTTGAAAACACACCTCTACATGAAGCTGCCACTGTGGGGAATTTGGATGCTTTCAAGCTTTTGGTTGAGTTCAGGAAGGAGGATTTGTTGGAGTTGAACAAGCGGGGTGAAACGCCTTTGTATAGGGCAGCCAGATATGGGCAACTTCAGATCGTTGAATATATTTTGAATGAATGTGAAGATTATTACTCTCGATCTCCCCTAAATTGGATGGTAGATGGTACTCCAATCATTCATGAAGCCATTCAGAGCGAGAGCTTTGGTTAGTGTCTCAGTTTTTGTTACCATAATTGAAGGTAATTCAAAGGTTTAATACATATAATTCAAAGCTTTTATCGCAGAGATGGTTATGATGTTGGTGGATTTCGACAAGTCACTGTTGGAGATGAAGGATTCAAAAAACCAGACGGCTCTCCACGTGCTGGCCAATATGCCACACATTTTTGAGAGTGGATACCTGAAGGGATTTTGGGGAGAATTGATATATAATTGTAACAATATTCTTCCTTCTCTTCTTTTCTCAACTATGATTGTAAGAATTTCCTTTTTTAACTTCTTAACTTTTTTTCTCGTATCACATCACAGGGCTGCCTGAGGACAAGATTTACCCATTTAATTTTTTTAAATTGGGTAAACAACAATGACCCTAAAAGTTCAAGTACCCTAAACGAGAAGAATGGAGACTTAGAAGCAGCATTTGTCTCTCAACATAATTGGTGTTTCAGTTTGGGTAAGTTCTTTTTTCTTCTTTTTCTTTTCAAGTATTTACTTTTAATAAATATTTTTTAAAAATAAAAAATTCTTAATCTTACTCATATTTAATCATAAATATTAATATATATATAAAACAAAAAAAAAAAAAAAAAAAACAAGTACTGAAGGATTGTTTGTGCGTGGCAGGTTCGGCAGGTGTATACCTTAGACAAAGTTTGAAGAGGTTGTTTGGGAGATTCATCGTGCGAGGTCTTCTTTCTATAACTCTAAAAACATGTTTTTTAACCCAAAAAATAATAATAGTAATAATAATAAATATTAACATGACATTTAAAACACAGGTTGGCCTGAATGCAAAGAGCTGTATATGAAAAAGCAAAAACATAAATTAATTCTAAGAATCACGGAAATGCTAGCGGACATAGATGTATTATATTACCAGGAAAAACAGAAGTCCGACAGCATTCGACCTAAAATATTTGAATACATAGACCATCCTACCGATGGCAAAGATATTGAAAACATGGACCACGAAGAGACGCCACTGCTACTGGCCGCAGCCAGGGGAATACTAGAAGTGGTTGAAAGGATCGTGGAAGCCCACCCAGAGGCTGTGGACTACGTGACGACACAAGACAGAAACATTCTACATGTCATCATTGCACACCGACAGCTCAAGATCTTTGAATGGTTTAAAACTAGAGAACTTCTCGTGCACAGACTGGCCAAGAGGATCGACGTGTTGGGCTACACAATACTGCACCATGTTGGAATCACTCAATTCCTCCATGAATCCACCCATGGTCCAGCAATACAGCTTCAACATGAGCTCGAGTGGTTCGATCGCATCCGCAAAGTGCTTCCGGTGCTTTACACCATGCATTATAGCAATAATAAACGGAGACCCCGGGAATAGTTCAATAAAACTCACAAGGATTTGCTAGATAAAGGCAAAGAATGGGTCAAGAAAACCTCCGAGTCTTGCTCTGCCGTTGCTGTCCTCATGGCCTCGGTCACCTTCGCCGCTGCCTTCACTGTCCCTGGTGGACTCAACTCCAAAACTGGCTCTCCGGTTCTCCTCTCTAACCCTACCTACATGTTGTTCACCGGCTTGGACATCACCTCCCTCATCTCATCGCTCTCCTCCTTGATTCTGTTTCTCTTGATCTTGACCTCGCCTTTTGAGTTGGATGCTTTTCGACAACAATTACCAATTCAATTGTCCTTCGGATTCAATCTGTTGTTCTTGTCGGTGGCGAGCACCATGATTGCATTCGCTATGGCCGTCGTCCTCACAATGAAATCGACCAATATGGTATGGGTGGAGTGGGTTTTGTATTTGGTCACACTTGTTCCAATAATCATTTTTATGGTAATGAAGTTGCAGCTGTTGCTGGAGCTGGAGAGAAATGTTCAAAAGAGTCTACAATTTCTTTGGAAGTTGCTTCCCAGGGGTTTCCTTGCCATATTTTTTGAGATTCCTTCCAAATTTTTAAGCAACAAATCTACCTAATCTTCATGCCTGGATTTGGGAGCGGATATAACCGCGGTTGGATACGTCATAAACCACTTCCTTTTCTTACCTTAATTATCTATGAAGTTTGTCGCACATAATGTTCAAAACTGTGGTTTTTATTTTTCTTTCAAACATTAATAATATACATTTATATATTATTATAAATATATTTATGAAATATATTACTCTTATGAATACATCTTACTTATCCATAAATCAATTGATATTTTTTTCCTTATTTTTAGGAGTAGATTAATAATATATTTTCTCTCGTCCCTAGGAATTGGTTTGCCATATATTTTTTTCCTTATTTTCACAAGTTAATTGACAAAAGAACATGAATGAAAATTGTACTTTCAATCCCACTTATATCTTTCATTCATAACATGGTACAAGAGCAATACAAGTCAATCAATGGATCAATCGTGGATATCGATCATCTGCAAATATGACTGATACTTCTCAATTGAATATAAAAAAACAGTCATCTAATTTCATTCCAAATTACATTTATGAGCAATTACAACAGATAGCACAAACTTTATCTGCACTCAATCATTGTCTTCAGGTAATTCTGACAGTTACATCCATATTGCAGGTTTGTTTCCAGTATCTGCAGTATCCATTAACTTTGCTAGTTCTAATTCATGGATTCTTGATAATGGAGCTACGGATCATATAATATCCAAAGTTTTTGTTATGACTAAACCAAAGGTTGCAATCATGTCTACAATAAATTTGGATAATGGAGGGCAACACGTGTGTCACATACTACAATGTTTTCTTTAATCCTGTCTTTAAATCAAACAATGTTTTATGCGTGCTTTTATTACATTTAAACCTGATGTTCATTAGCAAACTTACCAATGACTTGAAATGTTGGGTCACCTTCTATCCTTATTTTTGTTATGCAGGACTTGACTATGGGGAAGATGATTGGCTCGAATAAACAATTTGGAGGTTTCTATCATATTTCTTTATCTCCAATCAAACCTTCAACAAATCAAGTATCTCAGTCATCTAATTTGTGGTTCCTACGCCTAGGTTATCTTTCATTTTCTCACTTTAAATTTCTAGTTGATCAATTGCATCTTGATAATGCTACCTTTTTCTCATAATTGTAGTATTTGCCCATTAGCAAAACAAACTATGGATGTCTTTTTCCAAGAAGCTCAATAACAACACATTCTGCATTTGATCTGATACATTGTGATGTTTAGGGACCTCATAAAATGCCTTTGGGGACCTGAATACTCAGTATTCTAGAGGTATCCCGTTCTAGGTCTTTGTCTAGCCTACTTAGTCTCAAGCGCCCTAGTCTAGGCTCGTAGTTTCTTCACATTCTTAACAAGAGAGACAACACAAACAGTCATGTGCAGGAGTTAACATTTTGCAGTTCATGCAATATTAACAAACATGCTCGATCGGAAGATAATGTCCATCTTTACCCAGAGCGCAGATTCACAAATTTCTCTCCCTCCTTTATCATGCATACAATATCACATTCTCATTTTAAAGTAAATTCATAGTCAATCATATCTTGGTACCATTGATTTTCTTATTTAATTCATTTTCATGGCTTACATACTAATATGCTAGGTCTAGCTAGCTAGGATTATCAGTTTGACAGCATGCACGCTTATTCCAAGTGTTTCCTACAAGTAATGCTCGTGGGAATCCAAACGATGACTTACTTGTCTGACATGTGCCTTCATAAGTTTTGGTTGATTAGTCGTAGAGGAGTCCAAAAATTACAAAATTTCTCTACAGGCACCTAATTCACAATAAAACACATTAGCATTGAAATCGGGGCAAAAAACTGGCAATCGATTATAAGACGGGTGAGAATAGGGGCTTTACGTGTCCCCATGCTTCCCCATGCATTGGCACGCACCTCCATGCAAGGGCACATGCGCGGTTAGTGTTGATAGTGGTGCGCTTCGATACCCAGCAGAGCAGACTTACCCGTTGAAATTTTATGGGCGTGACATGTGGCGCACAGGGAGTGGTGAGTCGTCAGTTTGGCAGTTCTCGGATGTAGTTCGTTTCAAGTGAGGATTTCGGTTTCGGGTCAACCTGAATCCTCACACACTGACGCGTGTCGACAAGCAGGACAAATGCATTTCTCTAGTGGAATGTTGCCATGTGTTGCTCGCTAGCTCTGCAGTTCTCCTCCGTACGTTTGGTGACATGTGGCGGCGATTTTCTCTCTCCCGCATGTTTCTAAATTTCGAGAATATTAGCTTCTTCACATTTTCAATCTATTTTCTTCCATTTTTTGTAACTTAATGCACACAACTCGAATCGACCTGTTTTCTTCACTAAAGTGGTAGAGTTCTATCTACCTAACCTGTCGTATTTTTCTTATAACAGCCCAAAATTTGAGACTTGAAATGAAGTGCCAGACTACCAGACTATGCAACGAAAACATATAAAAAGAGATAGACAATAAGAAATTACGAAAAAATTTAGCAATTAAGAAGTAGAATTACAATCAAAACAAAATGTTCAAGTAGTGTATGAATTTCATGAAAAAGTATGTGGGTACAAAATGTGTGAAGTAACTATGCATGACATGTATAGACTTCTAAATGCCCTAGAACACACCTCTGTGGCTCTAAGACTCCTACACGCGCTCCCGCCTCGGTCCATGGCATCACACACATAAAAAAGAAAAGTAGAAAGGGATGAGTATGAGAATACTCAGTAAGCAACCTACTTGTAGGCTCTTTTCACATTCTTATCTTAGTAGGTATCCACAAACTTGTCTCGGGATTCTAGGAAGTGTAGACTAAATTGCAACTCTCTTTTCTACAACTTAATAGGCTTGCCCATCTTATCAATGAATGATCAGTGTGCGGGACCTCACAAGTAAAACTTAGGGGACAGTATGGCTGGATCTAAATCAGTATCATTCTCTAAACATCATCCGTGGAGGTTACCTGACAACTCTCCCACGGGATCATACTACCACTAAAATCGAGAGTTCATGATTCCCTATGTTTCGGTTAGCTACTAAGTCATCCTAGGTGGTCCCGCACTATCTCGCTTAGCAACGGGTTTCTACGGATCATAGGTCCTATTCAGGAGACCCCTTAGCTATCACCACTAGATCGGGGCACAAATCACACTACCCTATCCAGCTCTGCCTAGCTCAACGATTTTAGTAATGGAGTTCAGCCTTGACGGTACGGTATCGAAGTAGCGAGAAAAGTGGAGGCTTTGGTGATACTATCCACGCTACTCAAGTCTGGCGAGCTACCTCCGTTGTCTAAAGTTACCAATGTGTCCTAATAGGTCTTTCTATGGCAAATCTTGGTGACATAGACTTGGACTCATTCATCTCTAGAATTCTCGTGCAAGGACTCTCAAACCTATCGTGGTTTGGAATACTGGGGTCTGTGTCTGTTGGTCATCGTTTTGCAAGGCTGAATGCACGATATTCTTTATCTAGCCTACTTAGTCTCAAACACCCTAGTCTAGACTCGTAGTTTCTTCCTATTTTCAATAAGGAAGACAACACAAGCAATCATGCACTAGAGTTAACATGCAGCAGTTCATACAATATTAACAAGCATGTTCGACGGGAAGATAAAGTCCATCTTCACCAAGAGAGAAAATTTCACAAATTCCCTTCCTTCTTGATCATGCATATAGTATCACATTCTCATTCTAAAATGAATACATAGTCAATCATATCTAGGTACCATTAATTTTCTTATTTAATTAATTTTCATGGCTTACATCCTAATATGCTAGGTCTGGCTAGCTAGGATTATCAATTTGACAGCACACATGCTTATTCTAAGCATTTCCTTCAAGTACTGTTCGTGAGAATCCAAATGGTGACTTACTTGTCTGACGCGTGACTTCTCAAGTCATGGTTGATTGGTCATAGAGGAGTCAAAAAATTACCAAATTCCTTTACAGGCACCTACTTCACAATAAAACAACATTAGCATTGAAACTGAGGTGAAAAACTTGTAATCGAGCGAAAAACGAGTGAGAATAAGGACTTCACGTGCCCCCACACGTAGGTCTCCACGCGCAGGGCAGACGCACGGGAAGTGGCACACTTCAAATCCTAGCTGATGCAGAATTACCCTTCAAATTTTGTGTGTGTGACACGTGGCACATAGAAAATGGTGAGTTGTTGGATTGGACCGCGGGTCATGAGGTTGGTTTGGTTGTTCACAGACGCGGTTCATTTCGTGTGAGTGTTTAGGTTCTGCGACAAGTCGAATCCTCGTGTGCTGATGCGTTTTGACAAGTAGACCAAATGCGTTTCTCTAATGGAATGCTGCCACGTGTTGCTCGCCAGCTCTGCCGCCCTCCTCCGTACATTGCGCGATGCATGATGGTGATTTTCTCTCGCCTGCATGTTTCCAATTTTCCAGAATGTTTGCTTCTTTGCGTTTTCAATCTATTTTCTTCCGTTTTTCGTAACTTAACGCACACAATTCTGATCGACGTGTTTTGTTCACCAAAACCATAAAGTTTCTATTCACCTACGCCATCGTATTTTTCTTATATTTTTTACTCTAAGGTAGAGTGAAATAAGGACGTTCAAAAATACGGAAAAAACTCATATTTTCTGTTCTTGATCGATTTGTCGTTCTCCAAATCGGACTCTAATTTTCATGAGTTTTCTCCCAAAAAAAATTGGTGCAAACTCTCTTATAGTTAATCAGCAAAAAATTTCTAAATCTATCACTCAAGAAACTTCTCGGATCTAGTTGAAATTGAAAACCATACCTCGTTTCGTTTTGAGGTTTTCTTGCCACTATGGGCAAATCCACCACTCAAACCTCTTTGTCAACATCGAGAGGAGTCTCGATTCGAAGTTTCTTGCAATAGGTTGATCTCCAATGGCAGATTTGTGGTTGCTGAAATCTCTCTTTTCTTTCTTCTAAAACCCTCATCCTTTTCTTCTTATTTTTTTTTTTCTTTTCTTTTCTTTCTCTTTCGGCCAGACCCTTAGACACCTCTAGTAGTAGTAGGGGTAAAAGGACCGTTTTTCCCCTAGTTTGACTTTGACCATTTTATAAAAATTATAATCTCACATCAATCTCGAGCATAATTTCCTTCTTCATCGACTCGAGCTTCG